ACGTAGTTTTGAGATGATTTTCTTCATAATTTTTAAAAGATAAGGGAGATAAACGTTATTTTTTTTTTATAATATTAATGTATTAAAATTTGTAAAATAATCTTATAAATGGGAAAATTTAGAAAAGTTGTTGAGCATAGTAACCGTGATAATATTTATATAATATTATTTAAGGTGGATTCTACACTTATAATTTAATGAATCTTATTTTAATTCTGATTAAATTTACTAAGAACACATTGAATAAACCACATTTAAATTTGAGAAAAGATAATAAAGAACTTCTCATATGTAGAATCAATTCATTAAGAGATTGAATTCATATAATTAAGGGAGAAACCTTAGATCTTGTATTCCCAAAAGAGTGGATATTAACTTATATTATAAAAATTAAGTGAAAAGATATCCAAAAATTTCATTATTTTAATAAAATTTCATTAAAAAAGATTAAAATATCTTAATTTTTTGAAGTAAAAGTTGAATTATTTAAGTCATTTCTCATGATATTTTATTAAAATAATATATGGTGCATTTGTAATAGTAGTTGAAGATTTTTTTTTAATTATACAATATTTTTCGATATATATATGTATGTTTAATAATCTTTTACAAATTACTTTTTCCAAAAACGAAAAAAAAAAAATCACCATAATTTTATGTATAGAATCAAAAATCATATTTTGTAGCTTTCCTTTCACTGATAGTGAGCTGCTGGAATGTTTTACAGGGGCAAAAAATGCTCTCCTCCCCATCCCGTAAGCAAAAAAGGCACCAATGTCAAATTTTCTTTCAAGTGAGTATAAAAAATAATTTATTTTCTCTTAATTTATTTACATTGAGAACTATTATTTCTTTTGTCACTATTAAATTTAATTATAGTGTTTTTTTTTTTCTAAATTTTTATCTTCCATTCATCAAATTGGGGTTTATAATATTTTTAAGAAATAAATATTGAAACATCAAAATAACTTTATACTACAGTTGCAGTAAAATATAATTTAACACAATTACAATCACATGTACATTCATAATACACCATAGTAATTTCAAACACACCCATAATTTAAGAGTATTCTTTTACTTAATTTTTTACAATACAAATTGATACCCACTACTTCTTTATATTATATGTCATAGGGTAGATTTAAAATTTATTAGCCAATATTTTACCTAAACTTCTATATAAATGCTACTGATATAATAGTTCAATATCATTGAATAATATTTTAATATGGCTTTCAATCAATTCTCCGTTCTCTCTTCTCCTTTCTTTAATTTTCTACACAGGGGATCTGTATAGTGTATAAAGTTATCTTTTTCTTCTTTTTTATTTTTGGTAAAAAAATAATTAAAAATTAAGTTAGTATTTGCTCTTTGACAAAGTTCAAAGTTCAAAGTTCAAATATTGATTAGGGGTGTAACTCACCGGCAGCTCTATTAAGTTGCACTAGTCACCAATGAATCACAATAGAAAAATACGTGTATAAAGTTATCTTTTGCAATCTAAATTGCAGAAAATTACAAAAAAAGTTATTACAGAGGGACACACATCAAGAGTTCCTCATTAGTAGATGAGGTTTAATAGTCCAAAATCGTTTAGATTGCCAAACACTTTCTAGTTTATATATTAACTTTATGTAAAATATATTCCAGGAATTACTAACAAAAGCCACCAATACTCCACTAGCTTAGTTTTTTCTTTTTCTTTTTTTCAATAAATTTTATGGGTGTATTTAGTCTAACTGATTTTATTAATTTACAATTTTTTTTATAAATAGTTAATTATGATATTTGAAAAAATTATATAAGCTAATTTTAAATTACTAAGTAACAAATATCAATAATTTTATAACTATTAATTATTTCTAACAATTACACTAAATAAAAACTTAGTTAGGCAGTTGAGATACAAAAAGACAATTAAACTTGTAAGACCAAATATATTTTATGTAGAATAATGATAAATGGAAT